AGCTTGGCGCTTCCCGTCCCTTTCCCCAGGGCCAGGCACGGGCGTCTCTCCGTGGGTCCCCATCCCGGGCCGGTGACAGGGATGGCGGCCCGCGACGCCCCTTAAGGGCCCCCCTTTCCCTGCCCTGTTACTGGTGACAGGCCGATGGCCGTATGTTGGTCTCCCGGGGATGAGCCTGGGTGGGTAACTCAAGGGAGGGCCCTGTGTCCCCTCAGCCTGGTGATGGGCCCAAGGGAGGGCCCTGTGTCCCCTCAGCCTAGCCTGGCCTGGGTGGGTAACTCCTGTGTCCCCTCAGCCTGGTGATGGGCCCAAGGGTGGGCCCTGTGTCCCCTCACCGTGGTGATCAAGGGAGGGCCCTGTGTCCCCTCACCGTGGTGATGGGCCCAAGGGTGGGCCCTGTGTCCCCTCACCGTGGTGACAGGCCTAGGGGGGTGGCCCCTGCGTCCACTCAAGGCTGGGGGAGCCCCCCTGTGTCTCCTCAGCCCATGGGCTCAAGGGAGGGCCCTGTCTCCCCTCAGTCTCATGGATGGGCCTGGGCAGTGGGCCCCGTGTCCCCTTCAGGCCTGGGGATGGGCCCAGGGGCTGTCACCGTGTCCCCTTACCTTGGGGATGGGCCTGAAGGAGGCTTCATGCCCCCTCAGCCCACTGACAGACTTGGGGGCTGGCCCCCATATCTTCTCAGGCCTGAGGGAGGCCCCTGTGTGCCCTCACCCCCATGACAGGCCTGGGGGGTTGGCCTCCATGTCCCCTCAGCCGCAGGGATAGGCCTGAGGGCCCTGTGTGCCCTCACACTGGTGTCCTGTCTGGGGAGGTGGCCCTTGTGTCCTTTACAGGCTCCTTCAGCTCCTCATCCTGGGGACAGGCCTGAGGGAGACACATCCTACCCATGACCCCTAATATGGCAACAGGCCTGGGGAGCGGCCCTTGTCCCTCTCCACCCTGGGCCCTGCCAGGAAAGGGGTGTAAGACCTGTCCCCATCTTGTCCCCTGCTGTCCCTTGCTCCAGCCAGTGCCAGGCACAGGTGTTTTTCCTTGGCTTCCCAGCCCAACCCAATGACATGCTTAACAGGCCCCTGTTTTCCCTCTCTGCTACTGGTGACAGGCCAGGAGGTGTCCTATCTTGTCCTGCATGTTGGTGACAAGCCAGGGGGTGTCTGTTGGTCCCCTGGGGCCAGGCTGGGGCTGTTCGCTCCTTCCTTTTCCCCCAAGCCCTATAGTGGGCTGCAGCTGTGTGTCCCAGTGCAAGGCTGTGTGGTTGGAGGGAGGACAGGACTGGGGTTCAGGTGGTTGCTGGGGGTCTCTGTGGCCACATCCGCTGGGTCATGGTCTCATTTATCCCATGTAGAGGTGCTCAGTGCCAATCCCCGTGTTTCCCCTCTCTGGGTGCCAGCCGGGCAGCGTGCCTTGGCTTGGGGCGAATGCCTGGGTTTGTGTCCTCTGCAGGGCGCTGGCAGCCGAGGAGAGCAAGCCCGGCAGCTGGTCATCGACCTGGAGACTCGAGGGAAACAGGCTTTTCCAGTATTCCTCTCGATCCTGCGGGACACCGGGCAGGGCAACCTCGCGGATATGCTGATGAAGGAGTGCGAATGCCCGCCAGTGCCACCGCAGCTGGGAGACCTGAGGCCTGTCGAGCTGGAGTTCCGTGGAGAAAAGCACAGTACAAGTGGGTAGCGAGGGCACGGTTGTTTGAGGGCAAAGAGCATTGTGGGGATGGCAGCCAGGATCACTCTTGCCGTGGCAGTAGCGAAGTCCTGATTTTTATTACGGCTCGTAGAGGTGACTGCGTAGAGCTGTTGGGACAACGTCATGCTTTGCAGTAGTGGAAGCTCAGGCTATGTGCTTGTGGTGGTAGGAGCTTTTTTCTCTGTCTTGTTGCACATCCCCTCTGCGATACCTTGGTGAGAATGGATTTTACCGTGTCCTCGCCATCTGCCGAATCCACATGCAGATCTGGCACAAGGGTTGTAAGGGGAAACTGTAGTCTGTCGAACGCCGGAAAGGGGAAAATGGACGCGATGTTGGGTGGCAGCCTTGCAGCAGGGTCGCTGCCGCGGGCGGCTGTGGGCTTGGGTCCTCCTGCAGACCCGGGGTTGGTTACCTGTAGCTCAGAATTGGAAAGGGGAGAAGGTGAGCCCCATCCATCTCGTGTCATTACAGAATTGAACTTCCCTGAACGTGTGTCCAACCCAGTCCATGGTGTGAGTGAAAAACCTCGAACACCTGCAGCGCCAGCCCGGGGTAAGCCATGTCCCAGGCTCTTCCCGATAGACGGCATGCCAAATGCACCCGGCGCGTGGTGGGGCGGGAAGGGGCACTTTGTCCGTGTTGCCGACGCATCACGGGCAATGGGGAAGGACTGACATTAATTCTAGGGGGAAGGCATACACCGTCTTGTCGCAGAAAGCTAAATACCATGTCTCTTGCCTGTTGCAGGTTCAGCTGCTGACAAGAGGAACCGCGACCTGGTTAGTATTTGGTGTGGCCAAACGCGTTCCCTGCTAAGTGAAAGCTCTGTGCCTTGTGGGTGGCTACCAGCAAGTAGCCCTGGGACGGCCGGTTCTGGCTTGGCCGTATCGGAGCGATGGCTCCGAGGTGGCCACTGCCATAACGGGGCCACTTGTCTAGGAGCAGGTCAACTGTTAGCCAGTTCCTCCTTAACAGGAGCTGCTGTAACACAGATAACACAGAACTGAAGCGTGAGATTCAGCAGTTCCCGGCAAAGCCGCCGGTTATTCCCGAAGGCAGCGAGTCGCACGCTGCCCGCGAAGTGGTGCGTAGACTTTGTAACGCCAGCCTTGAGAGACGGGCGCCAGGAAAACACTAACAAACACGTGCGTTGTGCCTCAGGGCATCGGGAAGTGGGGATTGATTGGGGAAGCGAGTCCAGAGGAGGCCACGAAGATGATCAGAGGGCTGGAGCCCCTCTGCTGTGATGAAAGGCTGCAAGAATTGGGCTTGTTCAGCCTGGAGAAGAGGAGGCTCCGAGGAGACCTCATTGCAGCTTTCCAGTATCTGAAGGGGCTACAAGGGTGCTGGGAGAGGACTTTTTACAAGGGTCTGTAGTGACAGGACAAGGGGTAACGGGTACAAATTGAAAACGGGGAGGTTTAGATTGGATATCAGGAAGAAATTCTTCACAGAGAGGGTGGTGAGGCAGTGGGACAGGTTGCCCAGAGAAGCTGTGGATGCCCCATCCCTGGAAGTGTCCAAGGCCAGGCTGGATAAGGCTTGGAGCAACCTGGTCTAGTGGAAGGTGTCCCTGCCCATGGCAGGGGGGTTGGAACTAGATGATCTTTAAGGGTCCTTCCAACCCAAACCGTTCTGTGATTCTATGATTGTGATTACGTCTGGAGCTGCTGCCTGATAGCCTGCAGCCCTCCGACGCGGAGGGAATAGCCGGGCTGCGTACGCCCGAGGCTGGTGGCCGTATCAGTGCGGCCGTTCGGGCAGCACTGGTAAAACGCCTGCGGCACCGTTGATGGGAAAGGGGTCTCTGGGAGATTTATCTTCCCATTCTCTCAGCTCCTTCCGTGGGTGAGGTTTGATGACAGTGCCCAAAAAGACTCCTGGAAACTTCTGTTTGCCACCAGAGCCGCTGCGGGTAAAGAAGCGGCCGGTTTTCCAGACAGGCAGTCATGGATCTAGCAGGTCGTTTGGCATTCCCTGGCTGCCGGTAACAACAGGGGTGGGGGGGCTGGATCCTGTCAGTATGTGCTGATTTTGGCTGGGGTGGAGCTAATTGTTTTGCAGTAGCTGGTACGAGGCTGCGTTTTGGATGCGTGTGGATGGGAATGTTCGTAACACACCCATGTTTTTAGTGCAGGACTGGTTTGAATTTGTGCTGAGCCTAGTGTTACGTTGGTTTTAGTTGTTGTCAAGCACCATTTGTATGAAATTCAGGATGGTTTTGGTTTCTCGTACTGGCCCTGTCCCCTCAGGCTTCTGCTGTAGAAGGCGGCAGCTGGCCAGCGGGATGTTTCACGCCATCAAACGTCACGCTCGGTGTAGAAGCTGGGGGAGTTGGCTGGGAGGGACGATCGCTGTGGGGAATTGGCTGGGCATTGGTTGGCTGGTGGTGAGTGGTTGTGTCACGGTTTTTTTTTCCTTCCCTTTTTTCTTTATTTTTCATGACATATTATCATCATTGGTACCAGTATTATTTTCATTACACATATTACTACCATTAGTAGTAGCATTAGTGTCATTATTTTTTTTCATTTATTTTCGATTATTAAAGTGTTCTTTTCTCACCCCCTAAGTTCTCTTACCTTCTTCCCCTGATTCTCTCCCCCATCCCACTGAGGGAAGGGGGAGGCAAGTGAGCAGCTGGGTGGTGCTCTGTTGCTGGCCGGGGCTAAGCCACGACACTGACCCTGGGCCCGGAGAAATGAAAAAGCTGCAAAAGGAGCTGCTTTAAGGACTCGCGTTCTCGTTGGCGTGGCATGCGGCCGGATTAGCCAGCAAGGCCTCTGACTACAAGGGTGTGTAATCGCGACGTGTGTCTGCCAGGTTTATGAGCTGAAAGCGGACCCGTGTGGACACTGCCTGATCCTCAACAACGTTAACTTCAGCAGACACTCAGATCTGTCGACTCGAGTGGGCTCCGACGTGGACTGCGAGAAGCTGGAGAAGCGCTTCAAGGCCTTGCGCTTCAACGTCCTGACCCGGCGGAATCTTGAAGCCCAGGTGAGGCTGGTGGTGCCCAGCTCACACGAGGGACGAGAGGCGAGTCCCTGGGAGCGCGTTACGGGACGTACCCCCGTGTCGGCTGTGTGCTGAAATCCCCAGCCGGTGTTGCGCAAGGAAATAATCAACCTCTGTCGTCCTCTTATTTCATTTTCACGCCACAACTGCGGAAGGAGAAAGGACCTTGCGCGTTTCCACCCTGCTGTGGGAACGTTGCGTCCCGGTTGTGATTTGTAGGGAAGTGGCTGAGGCTGTGTTTCCGCTGTAGTGCTGACGGCCCCTGTGCTGCGTGCAGCCGCTGGCACGAGAAATCCACGTCATTCCAGCGACTGACGTGGGCAGAGCTGCTGCAAGACTCGCTCTCTCCCACTGGCTTTTGACGCCTGTACGTGGATGCCTGTTATCCCACGGCAGAGGGATTGGCAGTCCCCAGTGGCCAAGGTACGGGTCATAAAACTCTTTCCGTGATGTTTTCCATGTAGGAAATGGTCGTGGAGCTTCAGAGCCTGGCGCGGCAGGACCATGGCACCTCAGACTGCTGCATCGTGGTGATCCTTTCCCACGGTTGTCAGGTGGGTTCGTTGCACCTCTCCCTTGGCCATTTAGACCGGCCGCCCATGTGGGAAGAGGGTAATCCCCTGCGCTGCCGTCCCGCGCAGGGGTGGGAGGGAAGCAGTCAGCGCTGTTACGCTCTTGTATCCGGGTTAAAGAAGATGGGAGCTTTTCTGGTGTTGTCTGGTCCAGCATGGCTTGTGGACAGGGGTTCTCTGTTTCAGGATCAGGGTGTAGAATTCAGAACTGAACAGCAGGCAGAGAGCGAAGGGAGGTAGCATGGTCGTTCAGTCCCCCGTCACTCCAGCTCTGACTGGGGACATGCTGTTGGTTACAAAACCTGTTTATCACAAGTCCGAGACCTCAAAGGCCCAGGAGGGGTGAGCAGTCGTTAGGAAAACGGTGTGTGGTATGTGCCTGGTGTTCTGGTGGATCAAGCAGCCTGGTGCTGGAGGAGGTGGGATAGGAGTTGGGTAATAGGAGGCATCGGATCGCTGGGTTTTAGTGCGTTTCAGATGACAGCCAGGTGGCCCCTCACCTGGTGCATGCAGTGAAGGTGAGGAAGTGAGTTTGGTTCCGGTAACTTTCGGCTACAGAGAGACAGTGGAGAGAGCACCCGATGGGCAGCAGGCTCCCTCGGAGCTGGCCTCACCTTCTGCGTTACTAGCTCCTGGATTTTCCTCTTGCAGACAAGCCATATTCAGTTTCCCGGCGCCGTCTATGGAACGGATGGAAAACCCATTCCGATAGAAAAGATTGTGAACTATTTCAATGGGTCCCATTGCCCGAGTTTGAGAGGAAAACCCAAACTCTTCTTCATCCAGGCCTGTGGTGGAGGTGAATCTTTGCTTTAGCTCCTGAAGGAAAGCGGCCGTTGGGTGTAAGCAAGCTTCAGAGAGGCCGTTCGGCTTCAGCTTATCGTTCCTTTGTTGTTCGTCGCCCGTTTCTCCAGTGGGCTTCTCTCAGCCACGCGTCCTTACCACTAGCATGGGCTGAGTCTGGGGACTCAGATGCCAACCTCTCGTAGGAGGGTGGTTCTGATTTGCGTGCACTGCAACGGTTTCACTGCCTGGGCCTGCGGCTCTGACTCGACCAGTGCAGCTGAGGAGCCAAACAGCTTTGTTTTGTCACAGAGCCTTTATTTGGTTTCTTTTTTCCTTTTGCCCACCCCTCTCTTTGGGTAACAATCATGGAATGCTTGGGTGAGATGAGCTTCAGGGAGTGCCTTGTTTCCGCTTTCTGCAGAACAAAGAGACCGAGGCTTTGTTGTGGATTGTAATTCACCTGGTGACGAAGCTCCCAGAGGTTCTCTGGAGTCGGATGCCAGACCTTTTCAGCCTCCAGCCGGCAATGGGGATGAGCCGGACGCCGTAGCCAGTTTGCCTACGCCCAGCGACATCTTGGTTTCCTACTCCACTTTCCCAGGTGAGATGGCCAGGATGAATCCTTTGTCGGGCACAGGGGAAGCAGTGAGAAAGTCGGAGCTTTGCGAGCAGTTGGGGGTGGCAGGCGCCATCAGAGATGGAGCCCAGGGAGTGGCAGTCACTCGGTGAACAAAGAGTGGCTTTAGTGGTAATGTCATCCTTTCTCTGAAGGTTTTGTGTCCTGGAGGGAGGCGTCGACTGGCTCCTGGTACGTGGAAACGCTGGACAGCATGCTGGAGCAGTATGCCTGTTCGGAAGATCTGCTGAGCATGCTGCTGCGGGTAAATGTCTTCTTCCTGCTTCATGTAGCCGTGATGAATTAAGTAGAGCTGCCATCGGTCGGGGCACGGAGACACACTTGGGAAAGGACCAGCACTATTGAGCATTCACTTGACAAATTGGTGAATCGGCGCTGCTGGGGCAAGGTCTAATCATGAAGAAAGTGTCCGGCCTCAATCTGCCAAAAGCTACCTCGAGGCTTTTCCAGTGAGATGTAGCCCTGCACATACAGGCTTTCATCTTTTCCAAGGAAATAGCTTAAAAATGGCACAAATAGCTTGTCCCATCCACAAAAGTTGGAGCTGACGGGGCGTGGGGCAGCGTCGCAAGCCTGGGCAGATCGTGCCCTCGGGGAAGGTGTGCTCTTTGGCATGTGGCATGATCGATAGGACAGCTGTTGATCTCAAGGGAGCAGCGCGCGACTCTGCGCCGGCTGCTGTTGGATGCAAGGGAAGCGACCTTGGGGTCGCACGGCCGCAGGATGGGTCAAAAGGGAATTTTTGTTGAAGGAAAATGAGAGCCATGGCTTATGCTGAGTGGCACCTGCTGGAGGCTGGTTTGGCCGGGGTTTTGTGTTCCCTCCATCTCCCTTGTTTTTGCTGGCAAAAATGTCTCATTTTAGGAGACTTCCCCGCTCTCCCGTCCCACAGTCCCATTCCCTGTCCTTGCTGCAGCTGTGAATCCCGCAAGAGGTCGCATCTCGCTTCTCAACCCCTCTCCTTCCCTTCTCAGGTGGCAAACGCCGTCTCTGCCAAGGGGAGGTACAAGCAGATCCCTGGCTGTTTCAACTTTCTGCGGAAAAAATTCTTCTTCGCCTGCAAATGACGGGGGGGCTCCCAGGTCGCCACCAGGCGGGAGTTTCCTCCCCGCAGCCGGATGAAATCTGCGCCTGCCATGACTCGGCATCGATGCGCCCGCTGGCCTTTGTCTGTCTGATGATGTTTGTCCCAAGAAACAGAGTCTGGGAGTTCTACCCTTGCTGTGAAATAGAGATAAGATGGAGCCTGATGCCGTGCTGATGCAAGAGACTGGGACGGAGCAGGGGTGGTGAAGGAAGCCCCTGCGCCGGTGCGCGTGCCGGCCCGGAGCCTCCAAGTATCGTTCTTTGGCGATTGCCATGTTTCTGTCCTTTGTTGCCTGGATAACTGGTCAATGGAATCCAGGTCTGGCACCTAAGTGGAATGGATAACGAATAAAAGTTTCTTCATAGGATTCCTTAGGAATCCGTAGGAGTGTCTGATCTCTACAAATCTCTGAATGTCAGAGTTACTTTAACCTTTAAGACCCTATGAGACCTATAATCAATAAGGGTTTCTTGAAACTCAAGTTTACTCTCAAAACCTCAGAGAACCTCTCATCAATAAGGGTTTCTTTAATCCCTAATTACCTCTAACAATCTGTAGGAATCCCTAAGACGCTCCACACGTCTAAGCTGTAACAGTTTCATAGTGCTCGGAATCCATAGGAGTGCCTTAAACCTATAGGA